GAGGACAAAATGAAGTAAAATGTTAACTATGGTGAATCTGCTGAGCAAAAGGTAACTTTTCATTTTTCTTATTATTGAAATTTTTCTGCATATTTAAAACTATTTCAAAAAGTAAATTTACCAGTCCTGGTATCTGAGTGATTCCCAGGGCCCAGCAAAGGGATCAAGTTTCCAGAGCCCTGAAGACAAGGGGTAACACACCAAAATACGGACTCATTTTCCACTCCACCTTCATTGGCCAAGCAGCTGCCAAGAACAAACGCCGCATCTCTCGATACCTGGCAAACAAATGCAGTATTGCCTCACGAATCGATTGCTTCTCTGAGGTTCCCACAAGTGTATTTGGGGAGAAGCTTCGAGAACAAGTTGAGGAACGGTTGTCCTTCTATGAGACTGGAGAGATTTCGCGGAAGAATCTGGATGTCATGAAGGAAGCCATGGTTCAGGCAGAGGAGGCAGCTGCTGAGACTGCTAGGAAACTGGAGAAACAGGAGAAGAAACGCTTGAAGAAGGAAAAGAAACAACTGGCTGCGCTTGCCCTTGCTTCTTCAGAAAACAGCAGTAGTACTCAGGAGGAGTGTGAGGAGACAGCTGAAAAACCCAAAAAGAAGAAAAAGCAAAAGCCCCAGGAGGTTCCTCAGGAGAATGGAATGGAAGACCACCCATCTATCTCTGTCTCCAAACCCAAGAAAAAGAAATCTTTTTCCAAGGAAGAGTTGGTTAGTAGTGATCTTGAGGAGGCGGCCACTGTCAGCATAAGCCTTCCCAAGAAGAAATCTTCACCAAAGGAGGAAGCAGTAGTCAGTGATCCCGAAGAGACAGGCAACAAGAGTGTCTCTAAGAAGAAAAGGAAACTCTCTTCCAAGGAGGAGACAGTCAGCAGCGGGCCTGAAGAGGCTGCTGGCAGCAAGAGCAGCTCCAAGAAGAAGAAGTTCCACAAAGCGCCCCAGGAAGATTAGAATGGACATTCCCTGTGAGGAGGGGTACGCCATACCCCACAGTGACATTTCCCACTCCATGTCTCATACTCCAATAAAAACAAAATTGACCAAAAAAAAAAAAAAAAAAGTAAATTTAAGGCCAGGCATGGTGGTTCATGCCTGTAATCCTAGCACTCTGGGAGGCCGAGGTGGGAGGATCGCTCAAGGTCAGGAGTTCAAGACCAGCCTGAGCAAGAGTGAGACCCCATCTCTACTAAAAACAGAAAGAAATTAGCTGGACAACTAGAAATATATAGAAAAACTTAGCCAGACACGGTGGCGCATGCCTGTAGTCCCAGCTATTTGGGAGGCTGAGGCAGCAGGATTGCTTGAGCCCAGGAGTTCGAGGTTGCTGTGAGCTAGCCTAACACCACAGCACTCTAGTCCAGGCAACAGAGCAAGGCTATGTCTCAAAAAAAAAAAAAAAAAGTAAATTTAAGATTCTCTCAACTATACCTTCCCCTCTAGGTACTGCTCCACCATCCTGTCTACTATTCACGTTCCATCTCCCTTGTGCCTCATCCACTCAGTCTCACTTCTTCCACTCAGACCTACTGCATTAGCTTCTTCCAGTGCTTGCTCCTGGCTGTTGCCCCCTGCCTCCACCTTGAACCTCTCCTCTTTGGACTCTGCATGCTCCCTGGCCACCCCTGTTCATACGCAGGGCTCCTATCATGCCTAAAAGCCATGTCTCCGAGATCCTCACCTCAGGCCTAGAGTGCTCTCTTCAATTACAGACCCTCATATCCACCCCACCCTTCCCTTTGCCGAAATCAGAAGTGAGCTTTTCTGTTTTTCTCACCACATCCAAAACAGCCCCTAAGACCAGCGATTTTATTGCCTAAACAATTCCCAAGCTCCCGCCCTTAGCCCCACCACCATTCCTACTGCGAAGGCCTTACTTTAAAGCCCCTTAAATTCTCTTCTGAACTACTGCCATAGTCTCTCTTCCTTCACTGTCATCCCTGCCCAATTCTTCCTCCAACGGCCATCAAGAGTTTTGTAAAATGCACTCCTGGTCACTCCCCAATGCCAAGTTCTCCCAGGCTACTTATTGTCGCACTTGAAACCTGCATCCAGACACTTGGAGCGACTCACTGGACACCAAATGGACTATGCTAAGTCACCCCTCGCTGCCATCGCACTGACTGATTCTCTGCCTGCCCTTTCCCCAACTCTTTTCAACGGACTAATTCTTAGTTCCCTTCATGTGCTCTAGGATTTCCTGTTTGACTGGTTGCTGACTGGCCTAGTCTGTACGAAATCACCAACACTTCACTACTTACCTCTCTAACTTTGGCAAAGGCCAGGAGTCCCCCTGTTCTGGCTCTGCTTAACCTCTTGTTTGGACTAGGGGCACAGTGTCCCATCATCTGATGTAGTTCATCTAATCCTCTTATGGAGTGAAATCAAAATGTATCAATATAAATGTGCATCCTCATTGAAAATAAGATGGTTTGAAATGAAATAAATATTAATCGATACTAAGAAAAGATCCATCAAAAACAGAGGCAGAAAAGCACCAAGATAGCACTAGAGTAAATGTTGCTAAAATATAAAGGCAATCAAGAGACTGTAACAAAATAATCAGTTACCCTTAAACAATACTGAAAATGCATTCTAATATCTAAGTCATTTCTGAGGTTGAGTGTTGCGCAAGAAACTTAGATTATAATCTGTATCCTGTTTGTTTGTTTGTTTCCCAGGCCCTGGGCTAGTCCTGGGGACAAAGAGATGAATAAGACATGGCCCTGCCATCAAGGCACTTGCAGACTAGTAGCAGAGTCTGACAGGAAAATAATAATGTGATGAAAATGACAGAGACAAACACAGGGCACGGAAAGGGGAAGAAGGGGAAGGGGCAGACTCTGCCTCGAAGGAGGAGGAAGAACTCAGGAAGAGAGGAGTGGGCATTCCCCGCTGAGGGAGGAGCAGGTGCAAAGGGACCGATGCTAACCACCCTCCGTGTATCTGGGGCAGAGGGAGGCATGCGAAGCCAGACAGGTGGGCAAACACAGGGGCTGCCTCATACTAAGGAGTCCAGACTTGATCCTTGGGACTTTCAGGCAAAGGAGTAGCAAACCTGGATGCGCATTTTGGGAGATCACTTATTATTAAATGAGGGGTTGGCAAACATTTTCTATAAAGGGCCAAATAGCAAATATTTTAGGTTTTGTGGGCCATATAGGACTGATTATTATTTTTAATGTTCCTTAAAAAATATAAAAACTATTTTTAGCTAGTGGGCCATACAAAAACAGACCCAGGCCCAGTAGTTCGCCAACCTCTGTTAGATAATACCAAGGAGTCAGAGTTAATTTAGGTGGTGTAATAACAGCATTGTGGCTATGTTAGAAGTGTCCTTTTTTTTTCCTTTTTTTTTTAATGCAGATTGATGGAAGTATGGTCGGGTGGAGTGGCATGATGTCTACAATTTGCTTTAAAATACTTCAATTAGGAAAAAATAAAAAGGGAAAGATGAAACAAACATAGCAGAATCCTGATAATTGCTGGATCCAAGCAATGAGTGTACTGGAGTTAATAAGAAAAAATTTTAAAAATAAAGATCACTCATACTAGTTGCAGTGGGAGAATGAATTGAGGGGAGAAAGAACAAAGTCCTGGAGTTCCAGGAGGGTGTTATTATAATCCAATCAATCAGACAAATTGGTAGCTAAGTCATGTGTCCCCTATGACACAAACAAGGAATTACTCCAAAAGCACATCTCCTCCATAGAGAGGGCTGCAAAGGTTTGAATTTTTTTTTTCCATTTTTTTTGTTTTCTTTTTGAGACAGGATCTTGCTCTGTCACCCTGGGCCGGACTATAGTGGCTCAATCATATCTCATTGTAGCCTTGAACTCCTGGGCTCAAACAATCCTCCTGCCTTGGCCTCCAGAGTAGCTGGGAATACAGGTAGGAGCAACCACACCAGGAGGGTTTGAGCTTCTTAAGTGTTCCAGACACTGAATGAGAAAGTCCTCTCCAACCAGTGTTTAACAGAGAGCATGACCCTAATAGCCTAATTACGTTACTCAAAAGCATCAGCCATAGAATGCCATCTACTCCTTCCAAATTACATATGACCTACAACCTCTGGGCACTTCTGTGCTTGTTCACACTCTACCACCAATGCCTAGAGTGCAAATAGTAAGATCTTGCACTTCATTCTTGCTGTCCCTGCCCTGGAGAGTCAGGAGCCACTTCTCTAAGAGCCTAGACAACTCACAAGAGAAGAACTGTGTGGCTCACTCTGGCTAAAAATTCCTTCCTATTAATAAGAGATTGCAACAAGCAACAGGTGCAACACGTCAGCAACTACTTTGAATTTTCAGAGTCCAACCATATTCCACAAGGCAATCTACCATCTCACATGTCGGTTGTGAATTCTGTACCTTATGTTCCTGGACATTATATTTAACTTGAAGATGACCAGAAAAACAGAAAACAAGATGAAAAGTGACCACAAAATGCTTACCAATACAAAAGAAAAAGTACCTGAAGGGGGAGAATGTGCCAATGAAAGATGGGACTAAGGAGTAAATGATACGCAGGTGAGCAGAGAGAGAATATGGTTTGTGCTCTAGTAATTCTTGCATTTAATTTATGAATATCAGAATTATAAATGGCTAACAGAAGTTGGTTCTATTGCTTAAATGCAGAAATAAAAATGAAAGGTGATTTTTCTTTGAAGTAAAAACATAAAATAGAACATTCAGATACCTGGCAGTGGAGAAGAGATTTCTAGTCATCCTAGGGAAGAAGCAAAGGAGATTCTGAAAGACAGGCTAAGAGATTTTCTAAGCTAATGAGGCAGGGAATGACTAGAACAAAGTCATGGATAGAATCAGTCTACCAAGCTAATGTAAGACTAAACTTCGTAGATACAAGTCTCAGGAGGGAATGGCTGTTTTATCTGTTCTTTAAACACTACATGACTGAATGTAATAATAACTTGGCAAATTTAACAACCTGCCAATAAATGGTTGAGTGAATGTAAAACATAAAACAAAAATTATTAAACACCCTAGTACTGTCATTTAGTATACCATTATTTGAGGTACCAAAAAAATGGAAACAACCCACTGTCCCCGAATAGATCTAAAAAAAATTATGGAACGTTGAAAACATCCACACAATAGCCAATCCGATACCACAGCTCTGTAAAACAAAACAACTGTGTTTTGATGTGTAGACATCCATAAGATAAAAAGAGAGAAGAAAGGCTTCTACCATTTGTGTAAAAAAAGAGGGAAGTAACTACATTTGTATTTTCCAGTATTTGCATAAGAAATCCTGGAAAGATACACTCAAAGGAACAAAAGTGGCTACCTAAGGGAGGAGAGCCTGGGACGACAGCCGACCATAGCAGTAGGAAATCTTTTCACTGACAACTTTTCATATTTTTAATATCTGAGCCATATGAATGTATTACATGCTCCAAATTGATTTTTTTAAAAAGCATTGTGTTTTCAAAAAGAAAACACTCCTTCTGGCCACCTAGTCTAAACATCCAAGCAGCACACCCAGCACTGGCACCCCCCTTTCATCTTTTACACACTCACACCTGGGTTCCCGCAGGCTGTCCTCGGTCTAGGAAACTCTTTGACCTTCGTCTCCCTACCAGTTAACTCCTTCTAGTAACTTCTCAGCTTTTGGGGCGCGCGGCAGGTCGCCTCCTCCAGGCGCACCCCTATCTGTATACAGGTGAGCGTTCACAGGTGAGGGCCGGGAAGTGCCTCCCGGGGAGGTCTATCCGCGCCTGCAGCCCGAGTCTCTCAACATCACCCCCCACCAAAAAAAAGGGGTGGGGGATGATGTTGAATCAGATCACCCCTAGGGGTCCCTCTGACGCTCGTATTCACTCTCTAGTCCCAGGGCCAAACTTAACTGCAATGGGAGCACAAAAGGGGGGTGTTTTAACGAGCTAATTTTCAGAGTTCCCCTCCCACCCAAAAGAGCAGCGAATAGTTGAGGAA